CATTGAAATTCCTCATTAAAATGCAAATGTTGTGCTTTGAGTGATAATCATTTTGAACTGCTAACACATTTGCAAGATTTGATTTTCAGATAAATGAGGTGTTATTGAGCCTGACACTGAAGAATTTGATAGGTTTTCTAGTATAGAAAGGAACATGCTACAGGTTATTTTGGTGATTCAACAGGACTTTTCACACAGGATACTATACACAATGGCCTCTGAGACAGAAAATTTAGGTGTAATAATGCACACTAAGCTTAACTTGTATTCTTTCAATAACAGACTGTCTTTATCACGAGATTTATTCCTGTTTTAGGAAATATGAAATAGAACTGCAAAGGATGGTTTATGTAGTAATTTATGTATTCAAGTGGATTTTATTTAAAGAAGTATGTAAAATTTTGTTAAATAAATGGAAAAATGAAATATTATTGACTTCCCTAGATCAATTATATATGATCAAAGATGAAAATTACATATTTAACAATTAAATTTATCTCAAAATCTATCAATATGTGGGAGAAATCTCTAATTATAAATTATTTTTAAAATGGAATATGATACACATGAAATTATTCTGGGTTTAGTTGGCCGTGTTCACTGATTTAGAACACAAAAATTATATGGCAAAAATTTCATCCTTAAAACCCATTACCTCATATGTTTTAAATAGGTCACCTTGTATAAAGAATTTGAAATAGTTTATGTATAATAGCACCTAAAGTGGTTATGGCCCTTTACAGAAAATATTGCAAGACAAGATTGTTTATGCTTAAGTAGATCTTCCATACATACTTGATCATCAAAGGTTTTTATGTGAACTTACAAAGCAAAATTAATATCTATGATAAGATAGTCATTGGCATTTGAAGAAAAGAGACATCCTTTAAATCATAAAGAAAAACATTTCGTTTAAAGCACATGTATAATGTATAGTTTGTTTTCAAACAGAACTGCTTTATCTCATATTAGATGTTCATCAGGAAATAAATTTAAAGTAGTGTAACATAAGTGATAACTAAATTTTCAGAGACACCAAGTTTACTAAATCGTAAATGATGTATATACTCACTTAAATAACTCAAATTCTCAACTTTCTGAGCTAAAGATTTCAAATCTCAGTATTTCCCCTATAATAGTCCTTTATAAACACAGCTTAGACCTTGCATTTTTAATTAGTCATAGAACTTTTGTGTTTGCCCTCACATATAATTTTTGATGTTGCAAGAAAAATGAGGAAATGATTTTTAAAATTTATATATATATATATATATATACATGTATATATATATATGTCTCAATGGTACAAAGACAAGCAATATGGATTCATGTGGCAATAGCATGGTTCCTATTGAGATATGTATGTCTATGATAATATGACATAAACAAGTCAGCTCTCAAAAGGTTAGACAGGATTTGCACACATCAGAAATCAGAGGACTATAATAACTTAAAGGATAGTTAATGAAATTCAAATCAAAAGGCTTAATGAGAATATGAGTGCTTAAATTTTGCATAAAGAAGAGAAAATGAACATGATACATCTAATTATACTGACTTTTTAAATAAATGTCCAAGACTTTTATGAAACCAAACTATATTCTGTGTGTACATTTTATTAATTAAATACCTGCATACCTCTTTTCAAAAAGAATTATAGACATTTAAAGAACAAATATAAAATTAGGACAAAAGAAAATTATTATTTATATTTATCTTTATAATTTCAAATTATTGCATGTTGAAAAATGTTGAGTACTACAAGACATTAAGATATACAAAGTTTATGAAATAGTTTTTAATTTTATAAATGAGTCTGCCTTCTCTATTTGAGAATTATTTGTATTATTTTGATTTCTCAAAAAAACTGGAAAGGTTCTTTCTGGTTCTTACTAGTCAACTGATCAGTACTCTTAAAATTTGCTTCTCTATGGTAGCTGGATGCTATGTACCAAGGTAATGGGAGGGAAAACTGTTCTTTATATTAGAATTCATTAACTGTATTCAAGTTATAAAACTTTTCATGAAAAATTTACTTTTAAAATTCTAACTTCAAAAATATCCATTGTAATTGGAAATACTTTTGTTGTATATTCAGGATATCATATTTCTTGTTATAGACAATATTAAAAATAAGGAAAAAAGGTTACTACAAGAACAATTGTTTAGGATATCCATGATTACAGTCTTTTCTATCCATATGCTTTTAAAGTTCTATATTATTTATTTTCCTTGAATACTTTTATCAGTTACAGAATATTGATGCTTGGAAATACCCATGACAATCTTTTGATTCCATGTCTGAGCATAGAGTGAATAGCTAGTGGCTTAATTGTTTCAAGACAATATTAGACTTGCTAGTAATCACAATATAGATATTAATAGACCTTTCCATTATAATAATTGAAAGAATATTTCTTTTAATGATTTCATATTTACTAAAAATAAAATATTTCTATAACTAGTTATAACATTTTAATTATTAAAAATAAAATTTGACTACCATAGAGTCCAATAAATATTAAAATATGGGTGAACATTTTAATGTGTTTTCAAATACTTTCTATGATATGAAAAAATACAATGATCTGTATGCAATAAAGTTATAGCTGACACACAGAAAGAAGTCGAGAAAGGAATATGAAGTGGAAATCCAGGGCCTAGAAGTGAAATGCTTAGAAAACAAACCAAAAAGTGCTTACAACGAAGCCGAGGATCTGATTTTTAGCCCTAGGACCTAGATGATGAAAGGAATGCACTGACTCCAGCAACTAGTCTTCTGATTTCTATATATGTAGCATAACACACATACACACATACATACACACCTTCATACATAAATGCAAACAAAATATATGTAATGGAAATTAAAAATGAACCTCAGATTGTCTGCTGCTTGCGTTCTTTGAGCCTTGCTTAAAAGGTGCACTTCACACTAGATCTTATTTTTTAGACTTCTCAGGTTCATGTATATGAATTTAGAACTAATTACTATTAATCTCAATTCCATGATAATCAAAATATAATTAGCTAAGTATGAAAAATGAAAATATTCAGCTGTAAAATTAAACCTTGTCTAAATATATGTTACACTTGAAATGCAAGTATACTTTTAGTGACTCTTTAATGTATTTGGCTTTTCAGTTCATATACTTGCTGCCTTTAACTTATAATTACTATATAAGAATTTAAGTAGTTGCTAAAATCTGACATGTCAGTAACAAATACGAAGAAATGCCATTTACTTATATAATGAAAGTTTTGTTTTGGATGTTATAGCAGTCAATGCAAACAAGAAAGACAAACTCATTAACTTTAAAATATTGTTAAGAAAAACATAGTCACTTGTTTAATGGCATGCATGCATGTAATAATACATTTTTGACTTTTTGTAAACTCAATCTGTCACTAGAAATTTCACATTCAAATACCCTACTAAATTATTTATATATAAGTGTATATATATTTAAACTACTGAAATGTTTACTTTGAATTGCAGAAATGTAATTTAAATTTTAAAATGTATGGTTAAATACTGTTGTCTTTAAATTCTCAACTTTAACTTGCTCATTTTAATTATATGTTAGAAATGCTTGTATGTTATTTCATTGATGATGAAGGAATATGTGTCAATATGATTTAAATATAACAAATTTAATGAATTGCATGTCATTTAAAAACAGGTGAGACAAATACGTTAGAATAAATTCTAGTAGTCTTTCATGCAAAAAGGGATTTTAAAAAAGTGATTTTAAAAATCCCAAGCCTGAGAAATTAAAGGAGGCCAAACTAATCAGCTTTTAGTTTTTATACTATGGGAGTTGAGTTCAGTATAGGATCCAAAATCCATTTAATTATGTTGTTGAAAGATGTGCATGGCTCTGTCAAAGCGACAGCAGTAATAAAGGACTTTGTTAGCATGTTATTGTCCTAACTTCCTTAAAGAACCTGCCATTGAACCCTCAGCTGACCTCATCATTAGGCAGGTGGCAGTTGATCAATTAAGTGCAAATTTACTGGGAGAATAATTTTAATTACAAGAGTGTTGTTGCCTATACTGTAGACAGAAAAGAGAAGAGGTCATCCATCTTTCTGAATTTGCTCACAAAGTTCCATTTAGTCATTGCTTTTATGACAAATAGAAAAATAAGTACTACTAGCAAACTCCAAATATGCCTGGAGCTTTTCACCACCCACTGCATTTGCATACCACCTCAAAAAATGTAGAAGCAAGACAGTCATTCCAAGATCTTGGGAACATCTGGAATAGTGAAAATTCTAAAGTCAACCAAATTTATTTGGCAGTTTAAGTGGCTAATTAATTTAATAAAAAGCTAGCACTGAAGGTTGGAGCCAATGTCTGCATCTTGGGTAAAAGGTACATACACTTTTGATCAAACTATTTAGTGATTCTGTACCTCAATCTACACTAGTAGAAAACAAATAGTATTTCTTTCTTATTAAAGAGCAGGAAGCCTTACTCTCTCTAAGGAGTAGATGAGGTTGGAGTGGGGAGAAGATAGATGGACAAGAGGAGGGGAGAGAGTAGGAACTGGGGTTGGTATGTAAAATGAGAAAAGATTGTTTTAAAATAATGAAATGATTAAAAATATATTATTTTTAACGGAAAAAGAAGATGATAGGAATGGTCTCATTGAAAGATTAATTCGGATTTAATAAAAAAGGTTAAAATTAAATAATAATTGTTTTTATGATATTTTCTTTCCTAAGAGTCAAAGTAACTTTGTCCCAACCCTATTTTTTTGGTTTTCTTCTATTTGAAGTGCTAAAGTGTGTGGACCTCATTAAAAGTATTTTAGAAGATAACAATATATGTATAGAATAAATAACTACTTTACTAGATGTTCTACATATGTTTATTTTTATGCCGTTTCCAGCTCTCTTCCAACTGTATACTGGAATTGATATAAAGTCAGCAAAGTTCTTTGTTTCTTTCTTAGAAAGCTAAAAAACAATGTTCTTTTGTATATCTGTACCAGCACACTCTGCGTGAAGAAACAATGGTAGTGATGACTGAAGATATGCCTTTGGATGTTTCTTACGTGCCTTCTACTTATTTGACTGAGATCAGTCACATCTCACAAGCTCTATCAGAAGTGGAACAACTTCTAAATGCTCCTGAGCTCTGTGCTAAAGATTTTGAAGATCTCTTTAAGCAAGAGGAGTCTCTTAAGGTAAAACACAGCACTTTCTTTGAATTAGACATACTTTGTTTTGGAAGATGGCTACCAAAAATACTGAACTATACAGAAGTAATAGGCCAAACATTAACTTGGGGCAAAATCATGGAACTAATTGTGATATAGCTTATTCGCATCCAGTATATTATTCACATTATCCTCTCCCAATGACAAATTAAATTATATTTAAATTTTATCTACATTACATTGCCTTAGTTACTTACTTTCTTCATATAAACTACATATTCCATTTCAAACATATTATACATAGACAGTAATTGAATATAATCTGACTAAATAAACCAGGAAATGTGTATATACCAGTAACACCAACATGGGGGGGAAGAAAATTTCCTTGAATATTTCCTTTAAATCCACCAGCCTAAAAGTCCTTAAAAAATTGAGCTTTTTCCAAACAACTAGCAGTCTGTTACTGAGTTCTGAACTGTGACAAATCATGGTGAGGTAATACACTATGAATTTTAGTAGGTGGTATATAGAGATAAATGAATGTATCATCCAGGAAAATGTATTTAAAATGTGTGTCTTAAGATATTTAAAATGTGTGTCTTAAGATAGTTATGCAATGTAATATTTCACACTCAAAATGAAATATTATTGTATAGCCACAGCTTGATATTTGCCAGAACAAGCAGCAGAATGTTTTAGACAGATGAGTTTGCTATTAGTAGCGCATATTAGCTAAACTATTTTGTTTTCTAAATGATTTATTGGGAGCTCATTCCATATTATACATTTTCTGCATAAGTATACAAATAGAAAATACTGTTTTTCTCAAAAATCAACATTTCAATATCTTGAGTGACTTGAATTTAATGTCATACATTAAATCACATAAGCTATAAAATTACACACTAAAATGAGAACTTCATGGGTGTCTGGGTCCAATCCATCTGATTCACTATGGTGCTGTTATCTTACAAACTTTGAAGTAAAAGTCAAAAGGTTTATGTGTACAGTGAAAAGAAGCAGCTCAAACACTGGATAAAGGAGACTTGCCTGCATATGTGTCATTATTTACATTAACTAATGTCTTCTAACAGCACAGTCTGTAAGCTCATTATTGTCATTCAACATGCAAATCATTAATAATATTCTAATGTTCATTCATTTTTATGTTGCTAGACATATTGGTCAAAAGAGTAGTGACACTGAACTCACTAAGATTCTGGTTAAATACCTTCAATTCAGCAATCTTTTTTGTATCATTATTTTAATTTTTTGTAGAATCACAGAGGGCAGTTTCTACTCTTCTCTCCAGCCAGCTCCTCCCCTCACCTCTCCTTTACTGCCCCATCTATCCATTCTCCTCCGTTTCTATTCTGTGTAGGGCTCCTATGAATATATCAAGTATCACTAAGTCTAAGTACCTCCCCTTTTACTCTGTTAACCCCTATCAGCTTTGCTTTGTGGGCTCTGTGTTTTCTTGTGGGACCCTTGATCCCTCAAGCTTGTACAACCATTTCTGATGTTCTTCCACAGTATTCCCATTGTTCATCCTAACATTTACCTGTGAGTCTCTGAAACTGTTTCCATTAGTACCTGGGTAAAGCCTCTATGATAATTGATCTAGCAGAGAATTATTAGGCATGATTACATTGACATTGCTTCCTTTATGCCAGTCATACTTGGTTCTATGCTAGAACTTCAGGCAGCGTGAGGGGTGGGTTCACTCTTAACGATTGGGTCTCAGGCTGGACTGGTCATTGATTAGCAAGTTCCACAATCTCTGTGCCAATCTTAACTTCAGCACATCCAATAGCCAGGAGTCAGTTGAAGATTTTGTGGTTGAGGTAGTATTACCATCCCTCCACTGAAAGTCTTGTCTGGTCACATGAAAAAAAACAGTTAAGGATATATATCCCCTACTACTATGGGTTTATCTAAGTAAATCATTTCAGATATCTTGGAGTTTCCCTTGCCCTAGAATTACCTCACCTTGAAATCTATTTCCTCTTCCCAGAGAGATCCAAGCATCTGCCCTTAAGTCCTGGTTACTTAGATTCTCTGGGTCTGTTGATTGTAGCATGATTAACATTTACTTTACAGCCAGTCCACTTATAGGTGATTGCATGCCATGTTTGTCTTTCTGGGTCTATGCTACTTCATTCAAAATGATTATTTTTCTAATTTCATCAATTTACCTGCAAATTTCATGATGTTATAACTTTTAACAGCTGATTAATACTCCATTGTGTAAATGTACTACATATTCTTTATCTGTTCTTTAGTTGAGGGTCATCTAGATTGTCTCCGGGTTCTAGCTATTATGAACATAGTTGAGGAAGTGTTCTTGTGGTAGGTTGTAATGTCCTTTGAATATATGGTGAAGAGTGCTATAAACTGGATTTTAGGTAGATTGATTCCCAATTATATGAGAAACTGTCATGCTGATTTTCAAAGTCACTGTACAAGGAATGCATTTCTTATTCCACATTTTTTCATCATGAGCTATCACTTGTGTGTTTTTTTTTTTTTTTTTTGTTTTGTTTTGTTTGTTTTTTTTTGTTTTTTGTTTTTGTTTTTTTTGTTTTTTTTTTTTTTTATCCTAATCATTCTGACAGGTGAAAGATGGAATCTCAGAGTCATTTTGATTCCCATTTCTCTGACAGCTAAGGATGTTGAACATTCCTTTCAGTGATTCTTGGCAATTTGAAATTCCTTTATGACATTCTCTGTCTATGTCTATACCCCATTTTTTCATTGATTTATTTATGTCTAGTTTCTTGTTTTGGAAGTTAACTCTGTGTCAGATGTGGGGTTGGTGAAGATCTTTTCCCAATATGTAGGCTGCCTTTTTGTTAAATTGACAATATCCTTTGCTTTACAAAAGCTTTCCAGTTATATGAGGTCTCATTTATTAATTATCATTCATAGTGCCTGTGCTGTTCCATTTAAGAAATTGTCTCCTGTGTCAATGCATTCACGGCTGTTTCACACTTTCTCTGCTATCAAATTCAGGGTATTTGGAGTAATTTTGACATCTTTGATCCAGTTGAACTTGAGTCTTGTGGAAGGTGATGGGTCCATTTGTTTTCTTCAACATGTGGACATCCAATTAGATCAGCACTATTTGTTGAAGATTATATATTCTTTTCATTACATAATTATCACTTCCTTCTCAAAAATCAGGTGTCCATAGGTGTATCTCCATCTTCCATTCTATGCCATTGATCCATCTGTCTGTTATTATGATAATACTAAGCTGTTTGTATTACTATAGCTCTATGATAGAACTTAAAATCAGGAATTGTGATAACTCCAAAAGTTCTTTGATTGTACAGTATTGTTTTAGATATCCCTGGTTTTATATTTTTCCATATGAAGCTGAGCATTTTTCTTTCAGGGCCTATAATGAATTTTGTTGGGATTCCAATGGCTATTAAATTGAATGCTTTTTGTAACATTGTCGTTTTTAATGTGTTAATCCAACCTATTCATGAGGATGGGGGACATTTCCTTTTTCTGACATTTTCTTCAATTTCTGTCTTATAGACATGAAGTTCTTGTCTTACCAGTCTTTCACTGCTTGGTTAGACTTACACCAAGATATTTCTGTTATTTTTTGGCTATTGTGAAAGGAGTTGATTCCCTAAATTTCTTTCTCTTTTGTCATTGGTATATAGGAATGACACTGATTATTTTCAGCTAATCTTGAAGCCAGTCACTTCACTAAAGGTGTTTATCAGCTGTAGGAGTTCCACAGTAGAATTTTTGGGATCACTTATGTATACTATCATATCATTTGCAAATAGTAAAAATTTAATTTCTTCTTTTCCAATATGTATCCCTTGATTTCCTTTACTATTCTTATTGGTCTAACTTCAAGTACTATATTGAATTAATACGGAGGGAGTGGACAACCTCATCTCATTCCTGACTTTAGTGGAATCACTTTCAGTTTTTCGCCATTTAATTCAATGTTGGCTTTTGGCTTCCTGTATATTGTGTTTAGTATGTTTAAATATGTCCCTTGTATCACTAATAGCTACAAAAATTTTATCAAGAATGGATGTTGGATTTTTTCACAGGAATTTTTCCCATATCTAACCCTGAGACAATTATGTATGTTTTATTTTCAGTTTGTTTATGTGGTGGGTATTTTTTATGATGAACAATCCTGGTATCTCTGGATTGAAGCATAATTGATCATGATCATAACATTTTGATCTTTGATTTGGTTTGGGAGTATTTTTACTGAGAATTTTTCCATTAATAGTCATGAGGGTATTGGTCTATAATTGTCTTTCTTTGTTGACTCTCTTTTAAAATGTACCAAGTATAGAAAACTTTAAATGTTAAGCTTCTAGAATTTTCACTCAGGGTTCAAAATAAGGTACTAAAAATTAGTGAAGGAACTAAAATCTTAGGGAAAAAAGAATCGACACACACAGATTGCCCTCTACATGTTCTTTTATTCTTGTTTTTCTATGTCTTTGTTGCTGTTCTCTGTTTCTGTCTCTATTTCTTTGACTCTGTCTCTCTATTTCTCCATTTCTCCTTTTCTTTGTTTCTCCCCTATTCTTGGGGGCACAGGTGTACAGATTTGCAACAGTAATTTTTTTTCAATACAGTGTGAGGCTTGAGTTTCTGGGGTTCAGTAAGGCAGGTAAGATTTACACATAGAGCAATAAGCTAAAACTTGTAGGAGAAACTTTTAGCATCAATTGCTTAGGGCTATAGGTCAAAGAGATGGTCTAAGTTTAATTTGCACAAGAAACAAACCTGGCCCTTCCAGTGCTCTGACCTCAGTGCCACATAGGCCTTCAGGGAAGTTTGCTTTTCCCTGAGGATGGGCAAATGGGCTGATCACCTTTGTCTTTATATTCTCAGGGGAAATAGGAAGGAAAAGTAAATCTCTGAGCTAAAGTCTTGAGTTAATAAAACAAGAAGTTTGAGAATCCTTTAGTGTAGGATTGGTTTAGGTTTTTGCTTCTCTGTCTGCTAGGGAGGTAAAGCCAAGGGCAACACTA